CCCCCCTCGCCATGAAGCTCATTGGGTATTCCGACGCCTCTGGCGTTGTCCAATGTGTCCAAGATGCCCAGGCAAGCCTCCAAGGCCGCCAACATCAGCCAAGAGGCCTCCACAACAGCCTCAGGTGGCCCCCGAATTGCCCAATGCGGCCCCGAGGCGGCCCACGAGGCTTCCAAGATGGCCGAAGAGGGCTCCAAGAAAACTCTTTTTTTTCAAAGGGGATCCGCAGGCTTGTAGTTTCGAGCTCCCTGCAGCTCAAGAGAGCCCAACGAGCTCCCAAGACAACCTCAAGACGGCCCAGGAGGGCTCCAAGAGGGAAGAATAGGGCCCCGAGAAGGCCCAAAGAGGGGCCCCAAGAACTCGAGAGGCCTACGCAGGCCACTGGATCAAGGAGGCTGGACAAGAGGGGTGGCTGGGCGAGCCCCAGGCCGCCCGCTGCTGCTGGCCTGCGCCATTGCCTGGCAGGCGGCGCCGCCTTCCTCTTTCCTTCCTTTTCTCCTTCCTTCCTCATTCCTTCCATTCTCTCGGCCAAGCACCGATGGGCGGTCCTCCCTTGTCATCATTCAGTCCAAACCTCATCGCCCTCCTCCTCCCTCCTATCGCCATACTTGCCCTCGTCCTCCTGCCTCCTGCCTCCTCCCCCTCGTTATCATCATTCTCCTTGCGCCCCTTCACCACGGGGTTGCAATCCAACCGTGCGTACATTTTAACACTCCTACGTTGATATGTCTTGGGGGGTGCGACCAAGACGATCTTGAAAAAAAACGGCGCCGGCACAGCACGGGGCGCTCGACGCTCGACAGCCAAACGTTGTTAAACAGCTAGTCCCTGGCCAACGCCAGGCCAACGCTTGGGCCACGGCCGAGCACCGATCGTCGAGCTGGCAGCAAGAAGCGCGTGCGCCGCCAGTGCCTAGGCGAGCTCTAAACGCACCCCTGGTCCGAGAGTTCGCACGACAACTCAGCCGCCGCCATCGCAATAACATCAAACCTCACATCATGACCTGATATGTCTCTATGCTTGTGCGGTATGAGTTCTATTGCTAGGCGGTGGCGTCGACCAGAGCCCGTAAGGGCCTGATAAACACGTCATCGCATCCTACCTAGAGTGTCAGACCAGGGGTTCACTCCTCACTCTCCCCCTCACTCGTACCATCACACTTGCCCTCGGCATCCTGCCTCCTGCTTTCCTCCTCATTATCATCGTCTTCCTCGCGCCCCTTCACCACGAGATCACAATCCAATGGCGCATCCACTTGAACATTCCTACATTTGCTATGTCGCGAGGAGTGCGACCGAGACGACTGGCAAAAAACAGCGCCAGCACAACACGGGCGGGGCGCCCGAGCTCAAAACTCGACAGCCAAACGTTGTTAAACAGCTAGTCCCTGGCCAACGCCAGGCCAACGCTACGGCGGAGCGCCGAATGTCAAACTGCAGACAAGCCTGACATGGCCACGCAAGTGGCTGTCGATTCCTTCCCCACTGGCAGCAAGAAGCGCGTGCGCCACCAGTGCCACAGCGAGGTTTAAACGCATCCCTGGTCCGAGACTTTGCGCGACAACTCAGCCACCGCCATCGCAATAACATCAAACCTCAAATCATGATCTGACATGTCTCTATGCTTTTGTGGTATGAGTTTTATTGCTAGGCATTGGCGTCGTCATCGCATCACACCTAGAGTGTCAGACCCGGGGCTCACTCATCCTCCTCATCTCCGTCCTCGTCGGATGCCCCGCCGCCGAGCTCCTGCAAACGGTTCAAGAGGGACTGGCGAGTGCCACTCTTCGTGTCCGTGGGTTTGGCTGCGGCCGGCCTCCTCTTGAGCACCGCCGGGGGCTCGACGTCTTCGCCATCGTCATCTTCCTCTCCGTTGTTGCCAACCTCCTCCTCGTCCTCGGGCCCATCCTTATCACCATTGTTGCTGTCGCCGGACACGAGCTTGGCAGCTCTGGGGACGAACATGCTGTCGGACTCGTCAGTGAATTTCTGGAATATGCGGTGCGACAAGCACTGGTTGAGCAAAGTGGCGTGGGCTTCGGTATAGCAGATGGCCATGTACGGTATGCCAGCCTCAATGCAAGACACTGCCCATTCTGGGCCCACCGGGGTCATGTCAATAACCGCTTTACAAGGGTCCGCAAGTGCGTTGCACAGAAGTGAATTGGCATTTTTTCTTTCCCTAGGCTCCATCTAGAAGGGTTCTTACTCTCTGGGCTTAAAGGGGCCGGGGAGTGGAAAGCGCCCCGGGCGGTTCCCCCAGTGTCCGCCCCGCGGTTCCCCCGGCTACGTCCCCTTAGCTTTAGCTTTACCATTAGCTTTAGCTTTAGCTTTAATATTAGCTTTAGCTTTAGCTTTAGCTTAGATTTAGCTTAGCTTTAGTTTAACTTTAGCTCAGTTTTAGCTTAGTGCTAGCTTAACGTTAGCAGAGCTGTAACTTAGCTTTATCTTAAATTTAGCTTAGCTTTAGCTTAGCGCTAGCTTAGCTTTAGCTTAGCTTTAGCTTAGCTTTAGCTTAGAATTAGCTTAGCTGTAGCTTAGCTTTAGCTTAGCTTCAGTTCAGCTTTAGCTTAGCGTAAGCTTAGCGTAAGCTTAGAGTAAGCTTAGCTGTAGCTTAGCTGTAGCTTAGCTGTAACTTAGCTTTAGCTTAGCTTTAGCTTAGCTTTAGCTTAGCTCTAACTTAGCTTTAGCTTAGATTTAGGTTCGCTTTAGCTTAGCTTTCGCTTAGTTTTAGGTTAGCTTCAGCTGAGCTTTAGCTTAGCTTTACCGTTACTGCTAATGCTGTTTTCCTAGGGGCTCCAACTCCTAGGTAGGGTCGCACTGGGATAGTTCTTTTCATCATCTCCTGTATCATCCCATCATCCCTTCACCGATCCCATCTTCCCTCCCTCCTAGCTTGACCTTCGGGCGCCGGCCCAATCGCCAGGCCCCTGGCGCCCCCCCAGCTGCCACCGGCAGCCCGAAGGCGTGCCCCTCCCCATTCGAGGGCAAGCAGGAGGGTGAGGAGGGGGAAGCGGAGGATCAGGAGAGTGAGGAGGAGGACAAGGATAATGAGGATTACGAGTACAAATATGATGATGAGGAGGAACATGAGAAGGGGCAGGGGTAGAAGGACGAGGAGAAGGAGAAGGAGAAGGACCACGAGGAAAAGGAGGTGGAAGAGGAAGAGAAGAGGGAGGAGGATAAGGAGGAGGAGGAGGAACAGGAGGCAAACAGGACGGGGCAGGCGCATCGGCGAAAGCCTCAGGATAAGAATGAATGAACTCCGACGAGATCGTATCGATCATCGTGTGCCAGCTGGAGGGCTCGTAGTCTGTGTCCAGGCGCCGCTTCTTGGCTGGGGCCCCGGCGTCCGGGATCTCCTGGGCTCCGCCTGTGGCAACACGCATGGGGCCGTAGAGATCTTTCTTGTCACTGTACTTCAGCAGCCACTGAGACTCATATGACGGGAGGCCTACTGGGCCAATCATGGTGCCAGCATTCGTACATTGGTCGAAGTGTTTGCGCTTCTTCTTGGCAGGCTGATATTCGTCAGAGCTCACCACGTAGACCGTCTCCAATTGCTGCAGCACGTGCCCGTCCTTCAGGCGCGCGTACCTTGACTCCATGGCAGATTCAGAATAATGGAGGTGGCAGGTCTTGTAGGACTTCTTCAGGGCCTTACCGTCGTGGGTCTGGAACTGGTTAAGGATGGGCCCCCGATTGCCCTGCAGGCCACCATCAAAGACCAGCCATGCATCACCGTCGTCCAGGACGCCTGCGCCGCCAGCACGAGTACTGTTGACTGCCTGGATCCGCCCACCCTGCAGTTGCAAACTAACAGCGCTGAAAAGCGATTACGATTTTCCCCTTCCCCTACATCCTCCATATCACGCCGCGCTGCCCTCGCCAAACCCACTAGCCTTCCGGGCGTAGGTGGTCTAAAGAGCTTCCTCTTCAAACCCCCTTCTGTCCCTTCGGGGAGTGGTTTACCCCTCCCCGATGCTCCCTCCCTCCCTCCCTTGGACCTGGGCGAGACGCCCCTCGGAGGGTACGTGTTCGCCCAAGATGGCTCCAAGAGGGACTCAGGGAACCCAAGATGACCTCCAAGTTGGGTCAAGACAGCCCAAGATGCCTCAAGTTGGCTCCATAGATGCTCCAAGAGGCCCCAAGGACGTTCCAAGACGGCTCCAAGAGGCCTCGACATCTTCAAGGATGCCTCGAAGAAGCCAGAATCCTTCCCAAACCTATGGAAAAACAGGATGGTTTGCTGTCTCCATTGTTAGCGTCCAGCAGCCATCCTGGGCCTCAAGATGGCTCCAAGATTGCCCAAGAAGGCCCCGAGAGAGACCCGGAGAGCCCCAAGACGGCCCCACGAGCGCCCAAGAGCGCCCCAAGAGGCGACTTCTGGGGATCCCAAGGGGGGGGGGTCAGTAAGGGAACCTTTCTCACGTGATCGATCTTCTCCAAGATGGCCCCAAGAGCGCTCCCCAGGATCCCAAGAGCGCCCCAAGATGGCCCTAAGAAGCGCCCAGACGGCCTCACGAGGTGCCCACGATACCTCCAAGAGGCCCGCAAAGGGCCCCAAGAGGCTTCAAGAGGATCCCCGAGGCACCCAAGATGTTCCCCAGAGGCCTCCAATAAATCCCAAGAGAAATCCGAGGATGCTCTTCTCACTCCTCCTACTTCTCATCCTCCTCCCTCTCCTCCACCATCCTCCCCCTCTTGGGGCATCGAATGGTTTCCCATTGTTCTTCTGCGTGCCCCCGTACTTCCCTTATCACCTTGACTCCCCTGGACATCGTGTCTGGATGGGCTGGTGGGGATACGCGAAGCGTCAACAATTTGCGACATAAATGGGTATAGGCCGGCGGTGTTGGCAACAGCCATTGAATGAGCTTCTTGAGGCGTTCCGCCCTGAACGGCGGCAGCCTCAGGTGAGGCGTGGAGACGCTCTCCCCGGCCAACTTGTTGTCGTACACGACGAGGATCTTCTTGTTGTCGTCTCCGCGCAGGGTGCCGACGAACGACCCGCCCATCACCCGCGCGCACGTCGCAGGGCTGTTCCCTTCCACCAGGAGAGAGCAATGATCCGCCACCTTCTGACAGGCCAACTTCTCAAGCTGGCGCAACTCATCTTTGTCAGTGTCACTCAGCGAAGACAGCTTGGCCAACACTTTGAACTTCTGCTCCAGCGCCTCCTTGATGCCAGCAGTCTGGTCCCCCAGGGTGGAGGCGAGCGTTGCCGCATCCTGCTTGTCGACCACGAAGCCGCTGGCCACGGCATGCTCGGCCGCCTCATCCATGGGAACCTCTGGGACCGATGGCCTGCTGGACTCTGGAATCGTGCCAAGGTGGCTGTGGCACCCTGACAGGAGCTTGTCAAGGTCAACTTTCACCTCGTCCTTCTCAAAGAACTCTTCGCACGTGGTGTTGAACCTGGTGCCGCTGCGGATGGCTGTGTCGTACTTGACCCCGTAAACAATCTCCCCGATAAATATGATGAGGTACTGCAAGGCCTTGGGGAAGCCGTGCAGCCACTGGCGGCTCACTGTCTGGCTGTCGTAGCCAAACCACGACCGATACACGGCGTGGGATGAGAACAAACCAGATACTTGATCCTTCATGTCAGGTTGGAAACTGAGGCCGCCGAGGATGGAGCTGATGCAGTGCTGCTTCAGGGACCTGCGGTACATGTAGATGTCGCACGCCCCTTTGTTCTGAGCCTGACCTTTGCCAGAGAGCATGCGGACACTAAAGTAGGACTGATGGTGCGTGCCGTTCTTGATCTCATCTGAGACAGCGTGCAGGATCCACCTGCGCGGCACGAGGCACAACAACAACGCAACATCTGGAAGAGGGAGAGGAGGTGCAGGGAGCGGGGGAGGATAGCCAGGGGAAAGGCTCGGGAGGAACGGGCGGAGGAGGAGACGGGGATGAGGAGGAGGAGGAGAAGGACGATAAGGAGATTGTGAGGACAGCTTAGAGCGGCCACTTTGAGTGGCGTGGCGCTGCGGCTCGCGGGCTCCCAGGAGAGGCGGGCAAGGAAGAGGAGAAGGAGGATGAGGACGAGGAGAAGGAGGAAAAGGATGAGCAGGATCGTGTCAAAGGCAGCGGTTCAGTGAGAAAACTGGGCAGGGTCCTTCGTCATTGCCCCTCCTCCCTGGGAGGAGCATCCCTCATCCTCCTCCTCGTCCTTCTCTTCCTCCTACTCCTCCTTGTCCTCCTCCCTCCTCGCACTCCCTATCCTCCCTCTTTGCCGTGGGCTACCCAAGTACCTCGCGTTGGTGAAGGATGTGTCCGAGCGGCCAACCTTCTTGACCACAGCTTCCAATTTATACACAGAATCCCACGGCGTGTGCTTGCCCCAGAAAGACTCCGCCTCCATGACCACCGACCGGCATTCAGGATCGCACAAAAGGCGATTCCACACTGTCATGGAGGCGTCCACCATGCCTGGCGAGATGGCCTCCGCCATCGGGCTGAGCTGGACCTTCTCCGACCACGCCTTGGAGATAGCCTCGGGGTCCATGTTGGTCCCAGTTTCAGCTTCCTGCTTCTCTTTCCAGATCGCCAGTTCAAAGATGCGCTGGACTGGGGACCGGTACATAGTGGCGTACTTCGTTCCAATGGACTCACGCAGATTTATTGATTTCCAGTAGAGGTCATTGACGTTCTCGCACATCACGAACTCCAGTGGCACTGACAGGGCCGCACGACGCCACAAGGTGGCCCTGTCCATAAGCTCATCCCCCTGGCTGTCCTTCAAGTGCTTCGCGGCCCCCAGGTAGAAGGCGAAAACCATATCCTTCGGGGTGCTGCGTGAAGTAGGGTGTGCAATGTCGACTGCTTGTCGCTCTGCGTATCCCTGGAGATCCTGAGAAGCAACTCGCATGGGCATCGTTTCAAACAATGCCCATGCAAGTTGCTTCTCGGAATCTCCAGGGATATCTCTTGGAAGCTTGTTGGGGGCCACGTGCAGCGTCTTGGGGGCCTCTTGGCAGTCCCAGGGGCCTTTTGGAGCGTCTTGGGTGCCCCGGGGGGTCTCGTGGGGCCTCTTCGGGGTCTCTTGGGGGCCTCGTTGAGGCATCTCGGTCGCCTCTTGGGGCATCCTGGACGCATCTTGGGACCATCGTGGTTGAAATCGATCAAAGAAGGTAGGAGCTTCTATCAGGGCCCGCCTTCGGGAACGCCTAGGATCATCGCCTCTTTGGGCCGCTCTTGGGGCGCTTTTGGAGCGCCCTTGGGCTCTATCGGGGCAGTCTCGGGGCTCTTCGGGGCCTCTCTCGGGGCCCTCTTGGGCCCTCTTAGAGCCTTCTCGGGGCCTCGGAAAGCCATCGAAAGCAACAAGGCGAGAAGGCAACACTCATTGATTGTCCTCAGGTGTTTGAAAGAGTGTGGCCTATTGATTGCCTCCTGGGCAGGATCCTTGGCCACTTCGGGCCGTCGTGGAGGGGCCTTGGGACCTCTTGGAACAGATTGGAAACCATGTTGAACAATCTTGGGCCATTTTGAGTGCTCTCTAAGGCCCACATGGAGCCATCTTGGGCCATCTTGGACACTCCAACCCTTCGGGGAACGCCCAATCCAGGTCCAGGGGTTGATGGAGTAACTGGTTTGCGGACCGCTGTCCAGACCTTTCAAAGGCCCCAGCGAAAGCAAGGACAAGTTGCCCAAGAGCTGTAAGACAAAATGTTGCCAGATGGAGGGCTCCCCGTCACCGAGGAAACCAAAAACAAAAAGGGCTGCCAAAACGACCCAACCTTGTCCACTACCTTCCCCTGATGGGCCACACGGCGCCTCCGCCCTGCTCCTCCTCTTCCTCCTCATTTTGTTCCTTGTCTTGCTTCTCTCTTCAACTTGGGAAAAGGTTGTCCGTCCCTCCTCCTGTTCGTTTTCCTCCTCCCCCGTATCCTCCTCCTCTTCCCTCCTCCTCCGCCTCCTCCTCCCCCTCCTCTCTCTTCACTTCCCCTCTTCATCCTCATGATCGTCGTCGTCCTCCTCCTCCTTCTCCTCCTCCTCCTCCTTCTCCTCCTCCTCCTCCGCATGCTCCTCCTCCTCCTCCTCCTCCTCTTCCTCCACCTCCGCCCCCTCCTTCTCATCTTCACCATCATCATCAGTTTGGTAGCCACTGGTCCTCTGGGCTGATCCGCATCAGGCGGCCGAAGGTCTGGGAGGGGTCTGCAGGCTCGTAGACGCCCACCGTGATGTTGTCGGGGAACACAGTCGGAGGCTCGCTGAACAGGTCCTGTTCGAGGCGCTCCACGGACGCCACGTTCACCGGGACCGAAGACATGTTCAGCGAGGACGTCAGATCTACCCACCACAAGTTGCCGCCAGCGATATACTTGCCAAGAGACTTGAGCGCAGTCGCGCAAGACTCGCCATCATACGCGGCCATGTGGCCATCACCAGCAGCGATGTCGCCCGGCAGCGCTCGATGGATGTCACTGAAAGGGGCCAGCGACTCCAAGTAGGCCTTGGCCTCGACCACCCTGCTCACGATGGAGGCGTTGGCATCGGTGGTCGGGAGCTGCGCGGCAGGGCCTGGGCCAGCTTGGGAAGGCGCCCCAGCCTGCCCGCGGCCGCCGCCGCCATTGCCTCCGGAGCCTCCTCGGCCTCCACGGCCGGCGGTGCGACCGCCGCGGCCGCCGCCACGAGCACCGGCACCACGGGCCATTGCTTGTATGTCTGGGAGTACAGACGCGTACTGATTCTGACGTCGAGCAAGCTCGGAGCTCCGAACAGAACAGCTGCGGGAGTGAGGAGTGTCAGGAACACATTGGGTTAGCTTCCCGAGTTAGTTTTTTACAGGTGATTGCCCGTAAAAGGTTCTTGACGCTTCGCGTATCCCCACCAGCCCATCCAGAATTGATCGCCAGTTTTCTTGAGGCCTCTTTGGAGGCTATCTTGAGCCATGCTCGGCTAGAGGCTGTCGGAGGCTATCTTGAGCCTGCTCGGCTATATTGGGCCATCTTGAGGCTGTCTTGAGGTTTCTTGGAGGTCTGTCGGAGGCTATCTTGAGTCATGCTTGGCTATCTTATGCCATGCCTATCTAGGGCTCTCTTGGAGCCATATTGGGCCAAACAGGGCGGGGTGGAGGGTCTGTGGGGAGAGGCTGGGATGCCTCTTGGGGTCAGCTTGGGCCCCATGGCTCAAAAAGAGGAGGTCCCTCAATTAGCATCGCCCCCTCGGAGGCTCTCAAACGGCATCTTGGGGCCCTCTTGGAGCGCTCTCGGGCGCCTATTGGGCGATCTTCGGGCCGTCGTTGGCCTTCTTGGGCCCTTCTTGGGCCTCTTTTGGGCCATCTAGAGGCCATCTTGAGGCTTCCAAAGCCCATCGGAAGCGAAGCGGCGATAATGCTAAAAACATAGATTTTCCCTAGACTTTTGAAAGGTTTTGGCATCTTGGAGGGCGCCGTGGAGGGCTCGGAGGGCACTTGGATCCGTCTTGGGGCTGTCTTGGGGCCTCTTGGGGGTATGTCGGAGGCTATCTTGACCCATCTTGAAGTAGCATGGGCCATCTTGGAGGCCATCTTGCGACTTTGAAGCCCTCTTGGAACCTTCTTGGGCCATCTTGGACGCTGCGGCGCCTCCGCCCCCCCCCCCCCCCCATCCAGGCCCAGGGGAGGGGGTAGGGGGAGGTTTAGAGAGAAGAAAAAACCGTGTTATGCCACCTAAGCCCAGAGGGCTGGTGGGACTAACTCGTTCGTGGGGTCTTGGGGCCCGCTTGGGACCCTCTTGGAGCTCTTATCTAGGTCCCTTCCTTAGAGCCATCAACATAGCATCTTGGGGCGATATTGGGCGCTCTTGGGGCAGTCTTGATGGCCTTTCGGGCCCTTCTTGGAGCTCTATTGGGTCATCTTGGGGCCGCGCTGAGGCCTCAAGAGCGCATCGGAAGCGAAAGGCGAAACGTCCAAAAACACTGGTTCTCCGTGCGGTTTTGAAGGATTGTGGCCTCTCGGGGAGGTCGAGGGGTCCTCACAAGCATTTGGATCAGTAGTGCGGTCTTCTTGGAGCCTCTTGGAGACATGTTGCTAGCTATCTTGAACCATGTTGGACTATCTTAAGCGATATTGGAAGCCATCTTCTCTAAGGCCCTCTGGGAGCCATCTTGGGCCATCTTGGGCGCCCTGACGACTCGCGGCCGAATGGGCGGCCCGCAGAAGGAGGCGCAAAACGAACGCTTAAGGACACCGATACGTCTTGATCATTTTTTTGTGAGCCTTCTTCTTGAGCCAAAATGGCTACGTAAGAGGACGGGACGACATCGTTTGACCGCATGTCACACAAAGGGGCACAAGCTCGGAGCAGCGAACACAACTGCTGCAGGAGGTGAGGAGTACCAGGAGCAATATCATGAGCAGGGGTGATTAGCACCAGGAGCAGGAGCAGCAGTTACAGAATTGAGCAGTGCCATGAGCAGAAGCAGGAGCAGGGGAGGGTTGCTCAGCACATGCTGCCATCGTCAGGGGGCCCATCGACAAAAGGCCTCATAGCCTTGTGCGTGCTTTTGTATGGGGGGAGACGGATGCGACACCATGATCCTTATGGCGAGGTCGGCCACGGCGCGCGATCGCCCGAGACTGGACCTGCTGTGCTAAGAGGGTGTATATTTTACACATGGCCTTACAACAGTCGGGGACGTCCCCGACTGTTGTAAGAGGGTGTATTTTCAATGTCGGCATTGTTGTAAGGCCATGTGTAATTTACACATGGGCTTACAACAGTGGCCAAACCTCGAAGACACCCTCTTACAACAGTCGGGGACGTCCCCGACTGTTGTAAGGCCATGTGTAAAATATACATGCCCTTAGCGCAGCGTCACCATTTTTCAGCTTCTCATCGGTGGCCGAGCGCTGACCCGAGGGCCCAACGTCAAACGACATGCCATCAGGCCTTTCACAATGGGGGACATCCCCAACCTTATGGCTTACGCAGTCGGGGACGTCCCCGACCGCGTAAGGCCTTACGCAGTCGGGGTGACGTCCCCGACCGCGAAAGGTTCATCTACTTGAAAACACATGCCCTTACACAGTCGGGGACGTCCCCGACCGTGTAAAGCCTTACGCGGTCGGTGGCGTCCCCGACCGCGTAAGGTTTATCTACTTGAAAAGACATGCCCTTACAACAGTCGGGGGCGTCCCCGACCGCGTAAGGCCTTACGCGGTGGGGGGGCGTCCGGGCTTACGCGTTCGGGGGCGCCCCCGACCGCGCATGGGCTTACGCGGTCGGGGACGTCCCCGACCGCGTATGGCCTTACGCGGTCGGGGACGCCCCCGACTGTTGTAAGGGCATGTCTTTTCACAGTTGGGCCGACGTTGTGCAACACGATGTCTTACTAAATGCTTGTGTATTTCTGCCGGCCCTCTGGGCAACATGCGGTCTAACGATGTCTGTTCGGTCCTCTTTCGTGGCCGTGTTGGCTCAAGAAGACGGCTCACGAAGAAGATCAGAAGAAGGCTCAATACGTCTGGACGCCTCCTCGGGACTCCCCCCCCCCCTCGCCTGGACCTTGACGGGCGGGGGGCGTGAATCGCCACGGCGTCCAAGACGGCCCAAGATGGTTCCAAGATGGTATCAGAAAGCCAAAGATGGCCTCCAAGATAACACAAGATAGCCCAACATGGCTCACAATAGCTATCAACATACCTCCAAGATGCAGCCAACAAGGCCACAAGACGGATCCAACTGTTGTTGGAGACCCATCAGGATTTCTCGGAGAAGCCGAAATCCTTCAAAACCGTTTGGACGTCTCGCCTTTTCGCTTCCGATGCGCGTTTGAGGCCTCAGCGTGGCCCCAAGATGGCCCAATTGAGCTCCAAGAAGGGCCCGAGAGGCCATCGAGCCTGCCCCAAGCGCGCCCAAGATCGCCCCCATGGGGCCCCAATAGTGCCCCAAGATGCTATGATGATGGCTATTCTGGGGGGAGCTAGCTAAGGGACCTTCCCTCGTTTGATCGATGGCCTCCAACATGGCCCCAGGATGCCCTCCGAAGCCCGGCTGAAAGCCCTGCGAGAGTTCCAAAAGGGCCCCAAGAAGGCTCCATGACCCCCCCAAAAGAAACCCAAGAGGGCCCAATCTGTCTCTTCATTCCATTTCCCGTCAACTCTCATGGGCAGGTCTTCTGAATGGGCTGGTGAGGATTCGCGAAGCGTGAAGACTTAATGCACTCTCTTACACCAGCCACGGGTATAGACTTAACGTTGCTGTGGGGCAACATCTCCATGGCATGGTCGCTTACGTGGCTTGATGTTTGGCACAAACAGGTGGGGCCACAATCAAGGATCTCCGGATCAACCCTGGCACGATCAGGAGAACAAGGCACGGGTCGCACCCTACTCCGGGTAGATGGCACCCACAGCGCCGATGTACCGTTGAGCAGTGGGCCACCACATGCTGGTTTGCCGCAGTGTTCCCACCTCCCCTCGTGACGTTTGTATACCCCAAACAGTTAGACATTGCACTGTTGACGTGCAACCTACATAGTGCAACGCGCGAGGCTAAGCATGTTGATCGATGTGGTGCATGTAGTCAGCGCTAGTTACGTAGCGCGGGCGTGTCCGACGGCTTCGCGGCACAACATGTGCAGTGCAAGCTATGTGATGCAACATTTGCAGTGTGAGCTATGATGGGCACTAGTATATATGTAAGGTGCGTTGTGTTAGCTAGCAGCAAGCAGCAACTGCCAGCCACCAAGCAAAAGCCCACCATGCAAAAACATTGTAGACCAACCAGAGTGAAACCTATAATGCAAGCACTGGTTGGGGAACACAGTTCTGTGGCAGCCAATTTCTTTCCTCCAACATTCTCCCTCTACTCATCCATCCTCGCTTTATCTCATCCCTTTTTTCACATCAGCCTCCCCCCCCGTCTGATCTTCAGCCCCCCCTCACCCTGCTGGTGCAAGCGTGCAGGCTGGCTGGAGGGCCTGGCCTGCAGCCCGCGGCGGCCACGCCTGGCGCCAGGGGCCGACGAGGCCTGCGGCGCCGGGAGGATGGATGAGGAACGGGACTGATGACGGATGACATGGAGAAGAGAACGGAGGAGGATGGCGAAGGGGGATAAGGATAATCAAGAGGAGGAGGAGGAGGAAAAGGAGGAGAAGGAGGAAGAGGAGGAATAGTAGGAGGAGGAGGAAGATGAGGAGGAGGAGGAGGACGAGGAGTGGGATAAGGAAAATGAGGACGAATGCTTGAATCTCACCACACCACGCTTCGGGGAAAGTTCTGACTGATTCAATCGTGCCCATGTCTCCGGGAGCAGGAGGACGCGGAGGAGGGGGAAATGAGAATAAGTGGGAGGGGGGATGGGAGGGGGGATGGGCACTGGAAGGGGGATGGAAGCTGTGAGCTCTGATGAGGACACGGGGGGCGACTGGAGTTTTGCATTCTGCCAACGTGCTCCACAGCACGCTGTTTGTGCCAACACCATCATCCCACAGTGCAGCTCCTCTAATTACAGATCACCTGCCGCATGCACCCCTGGTTGATCCCATATCTGCAGGCACCATGATGAACTTGAGAAACTCAAACATGGAGAACACGTTTGGCAGCGTACCCCAAACTGCCTCAGGGCGAATGGAGATAATGGGGGGGATGCTGACGGGACCGTCCCCCCAAATAGCCGGATCTTCAGAACCATGCTTGGGGGGGTGGTTGAAGAATGAGCGGGGGGGGTTTATGGCCCCAGCAGACCT